AGAGCTTGGAAGGTGTCACCCACATCTTCACAACAAGAAAAGAATCTGAATGGGGCGCCTGGGTGGCGCAGTCGGTTAAGCGTCCGACTTCAGCCAGGTCACGATCTCGCGGTCCGTGAGTTCTCCCCGCGTCGGGCTCTGGGCTGATGGCTCGGAGCCTGGAGCCTGTTTCCGATTCTGTGTCTCCCTCTCTCTCTGCCCCTCCCCTGTTCATGCTCTGTCTCTCTCTGTCCCAAAAATAAATAAACGTTGGAAAAAAAAAAATTTAAAAAAAAAAAAAGAAGAAAAGAATCTGAATGAACTGAAAATGAATAACTTAGGTCTGTCAGAGATCACAGGGAAACCACTGACTGAAACGCAAAAAGACTGGCTGATGTAGAGAATTACAGCCACTGTAATTGAGTGGCAAAAGCCACTGCTGGACCCGGCACCTAGCAAGAGGTCTCTAAGGATAATTGGCCTATTTATTGCTAGAGATAATGTTAACTAGCTCTGAGTTAAGAAAAACTCTGAGTGCCCACACATATGGGAACTCTCATACTGTCATGTATTTTACTTCCAGGAGACCCAATAGATTCTCAGGATGAAAATTAGAGAAAAATCCCCTAGAGCTTCTGTCAGGAGATTAATAACCATTTAAAAATATTCAAAGCCCATTTGGTTATTCTTATTAAAGGCCTTACACTCAAGGAACATGAATGTACCCTTGTCTGATTTGAGTTTTCTAGAGTCTATCAACATGGAGGAAGGGAAATTATGCACAACATAGACTACATTACTTAAAGCAACGTTTTCCACCCTTGATTTTGGCACATATAAAAAGTATAGATAACCTAGATCATCCTTGTTCTGTTGTATCAAAATCTCCAGGACAAATGTCCTACACCTAAAATTTTAGCAAGAACCCATAGTAAGGCAAACATTGACAGACACTTTTAGTCCTAAAAAGTGCTGACATTTGAAAGAAATACAGCTTCTGTACAGAGGTTTGGGCAGGAGTTGCTGTGTTTTTTAAGGTACAGGTGAAGCCAACATTTCAGAGGCAAAAAAGAGTATAGCACTTAAATATGCTTTAAATAATTTGTGATTTTACTTTTTTTTTAATGCAATGGCTCCAAGATGAATGGATAGACTTGGGCTGGATGGGGCCCTTCCATCTGCAACTTAAGTCTTTCATGGACTGAGTTCTATCGGTATATTTTCTATATCTAATATAAAAAGACCAATTTTTTAATGTTTATTTATTCTGAGAGAGAGACAGACAGAGCATGCGTGGGGGAGGGGCAGAGAGAGAGAGAGAGACACAGAATCCAAAGCAGGCTCCAGGCCCTGAGCTGTCAGCACAGAGCCCCACGCAGGGCTTGAACTCATGAGCCATGAGATCATAACCTGAGCTGAGGTCTGACACTCAACCGACTGAGCCACCCAGGCGCCCCCAATTTTTTAAGCTTGGAGCAATAGACTTGAAAGTTCTAGGCCTGCTGAATTTTATCAGATAAACTTTCATGGTGTAACAACCCAAAGTTGTGGCTCTATACAGTTACAAGTGTTTGATGGCACTTCTGAACCCCTACAAGAAAATTATGTCCCAAATGTGCTTAAAGTAAAATGTTGTTCAGTAATACTCTTTTGGTATTTTTATAATTAATGATTCACCTGTGTTAGATTAGATGTTGTTATAACTGAATATAAATTGTTCAACAGGCCAAATAAGGTCATCACCTCTCTTTAAAAGTTTTGGCTTTGGGGCTCCTGGGTGGCTCAGTTGGTTGAGTGACTTGATTTTGGCTCAGGTCACAATCTCATGGTTCTGAGTTCAAGCCCCACGTCAGGCTCTGTGCTGACAGCTCGGAGCCTGGAACCTGCTTTGGGTTCTTTGTCTCCCTCTTTCTCTGCCCTTCTCCTGCTCGTGCTCTGACTTTCTCAAAAATAAATAAACATTAAAAAAAAGAAAGAAAGAAATAAAATTCTTATAAGAATGTAGGGCTTAGAATTACAATAGCATGGTATTAAAACAAATATTCTCCTAACATTTGAAGAGTTTTCTGTCCTGGACAAGTTAGACTAGAATGCTCTGGCCCAGATACATTTGTACTGATCATTGCCAGAGACATCTTTTAAAGTATGGTATAGGTTGCAAAATGCCTTCGGTTTCTTCTGAGACAGAAGGTGAACTGGAGGAATTCAGTCTTCCTTGAAATACGGGCAAATGTGAACTTTTGTTACTCTATTTTCAACAGTATGAAGTTTAAACACACACACACACACACACACACACACACACACACAACATTATTCAGCAACCCGGTGGTGGAGTTCATGTACATGTCTCAGTTGGTGTTTTACATATTTATGTAAAATTCAGGTAACTCGCTGTTATTGCCCAAAATAGTGGATTTCTTTGCCCACAATTTATAGGGCTGTGGCACTGGGAGACTGAGAATTGCTCTTACTTCTCATTAATTCCTTCCTTCTCCCTTAACATCTCTATTATGTTAAAGATACAGTCTTCTCCTTCCTGTCTTACCTCTGATGCAAGTTGAATAATATCTTCATTTTTTTTTTTACTGGAACTTTTAACTCACACATCTAACATCCCTTGTACTGGATAATTTAAAAAAAAAAAAAAAGTCTTGTGGCCTTCTGGGATTTACAGGCTGTCTCTCCTGCTCTTAATAGCAGGAGATGAATACATATAGGAGGAGAGGTCTAGTGTAAGAGACATGAAGGGCTTCACAATAATTTCAACTGTAGGCTTCAGTTTCCTTTTTCCTCAAATGTCCTGCATCAGAAGAATTGATCTGTCACAGAAGCATCTGATGGTGTCTATGTCAATAATTCAAAGAGCCACTGTCAGAATAATTTTCACTTAACTAGAATAATGGAGCACTTTCTGCACTCGCCAGATTTTATGTTCTTTCATTAAATTGGAACTGAACAGTGCTACACTTGAAGTTTCCTTTCTGAGTCCTAGCTTTTGCCAGTGTTTAAAAAAAATTTTTTTAATGTTTATTTATTTTTGAGACAGAGAGAGACAGAGCATGAACAGGGGAGGGTCAGAGAGAGAGGGAGACACAGAATGTGAAGCAGGCTCCAGGCTCTGAGCTGTCAGCACAGAGCCCGATGCGGGGCTCAAACTCACGGACCGTGAGATCATGACCTGAGCCGAAGTCGGACGCTTAACCGACTGAGCCACCCAGGTGCCCCTGCCACTGTTTAAGAAAGGCAGGTTCGATTATGGTGGCAAAGGCAAGCCTAACACCCAATTCTGAATGCAAACTGTTTTGACATTTTATTCTTTACATCTGAGACACAGGGATTGTTACTCCCACACTTAAAATAAAGAAGTTATATATTAGGAAATCTAAATATTGTGTCATGATTACTGAGTGGTAGATGGGAACTGAAATCAAGTCTTTCAATTGCCAAGACTCCAGAAATCTGATTGTGAAGGAGATTAGTGAATTAGGAAGACAATGGCTGATTAAATCTTACCCTACTTCAAAACCTCCAATGTTACCCACTTACCTTATTTATATAACTTAAGGCATTGCCCCATGTGGTCTCAGTTTCATTCCTGTGAATATTCTTTATTTTTTTCCAGATTTATTGAGATTGAACTGACATATAACATTGTGTAAGTTTAAGATGTATAATGTGATGATTGGATACAAATATATATTGAGAAATGATTAACACAGGAAGTCGGTCTCTCCTGTGCCTCCTATACACAACCTATCCTTTAGGCGAGGGTCCAAAGCTGGCTACACCATTGCTCCTCTGGCAGTTTTTCAAACATACCATCACGCAGGCTTTGGGTACAAACAGTTGATTCACACTGTCGGCGGTGAGATCAAACAGCGATAAAAGGTCTCCAGCTGATATCAATTCCTGGCTGGAAATTTGTACTATAGTTTCACAAGATGCTTTCATTGGGAGAAACTGGTTAGAGAATGTAAGAGAACTCTGTATCATTTCTTACAACTGTATTGACTCTGTAAGTATGTCAAAACAAAAAGCTTAAATTTAAACTTTCAGGAGAGCCTAAATTTAAAATAAATCTCCAATTGAGGCTATGTGCTCTGGTGTTGCAAAATACTGAGGGTCTAGGCAAGTATCAAATTACAGTTCACAAAACTTCTTGTCTTTGCTGGCTTTGATTCTCCTGTCCTTTCCAACTCAATAGCTTGGAAAGCTTACATGTATTTTCTCTATCTTAGTATCTATGATTATTCTTATTACCTTTTCCCATCCTCATACTTGTGTATTCATCAAGATCAAATTGTCCCAAGCCTCTTGCTGAGGGAACAACTGGGACATCTTTATGACACAGAACACAGAATACTTCAAGGTCTTACCTACTAGGGATCATCTGTTTTAGCCCATCTGGCTCCTCACCAATAGGCTTATAAGGGAGACTCCTCTGCTGGGTGGCAGTGGTTGAGAAAAAAAAGATGAGCAAAATAGACACAGTCCCTAGAGATGTGGGCCTTATTCTCTCCACTGCCTTCTCTGCTTCTGGTCAGTGAGGTAGGACATGTATAAAGGTAGCCGTGGTCCACAGCATTGCTGTGAGGATTGTTCCAGGTCACTCCTTCCTGTAATAACTATTTCCATGTTCTCTGGAAAAACTGAGACTCCAAAGTACCTTTTCCCTTCAATGGCAGCCAGGTTCCTTGTGGGCTGTGCCAAAGCATCTGGGAATAAGCAGCTCCTTCTTGAATGTGCTAAGAGGATTTTTCTTGGGATTGCTCTCATGTCTCTAGAAGGCCTTTTTTTCACATATATGTCCTACTGAATATGAGAGTTGGACAAAGGAAAATGAGAATGCATGGTCTACCTTAATTAGGAATCTAAGAATTAATTAATTAATTAATTAGGAATTCAGTGGGTGGGAGGGGTTTCTGGGTCAGTCAGAAACTTTTATCTGGAAATAGGAAATTTATCCCTGTGCCATGTGTTATAAACCTGCCAAAGTTTCCTTCCACAGAATTGATAAAATGTCTCTCTTCTCATCGTGGATCAAAGCTATTTTCATCATTGCCTTGGCATTTCCTCTTTATTCTGGTGAGTATATTTTCCAATTCGAGGTGAAATATTTCATATCTTAGAAAAATGCAGGAAATAACCGCTGTAATCTAGGAATGAAGGAGCTTTTTGGAAACATCTAAACTGAGGAAGCGATAAAAGGCACATTACAAATGTCTTTTAAAAATTGCATCAGTGTATTGTTTTTCCTCACTTCCTATTTTGGACAGGTGAAGACAGAATAATGGGTTAGAATGGGCAGCAGAAGTTCGCTCTTCATTCATCTATGACTAAAGACCATGACCCAAATCCTTTTTTTTTTCCCCCCTTTTTGGATGTCAAATTCCATGGTTGATAAATACAAACTGTGAGGAGGAATGATCTCTTCTGGGTCTGCTGTTGGTTAACATCCTGACTTCTTGACCGCTCACTGAGTTCCTGAATATAGGCCTTTGTTTAAGGAGAGACATGTTGACTCCTCTGGTAAAAGTTATCTTTCTTAAAGCTCAGGATAGACCATGAATTTCAGAAGAAGACATCTGTGTTCTATTGGATAGATGCACACATTTAGGTCAGAGTACTGATTAATTAAGCACTAACTGATTTCTTCATATTTAAGTGACATACTCTAACGCATTGTCTTCTCGGTCTTGGATGTGTCATCTACAAAACTTGGGGGGAAAACAATGCTATCTTCAAAAAAGGATGTCAGGGATTATTAAAAATTATACATCAAATTATTTTTCAAAGAGTGAGAATAATTGGGGATTTCAAACAATTTCCAAATGTGATAATGTTCAGTGGATTTTTTATTTTGCTAATGCACAAAAGTCTTGCCTCATTACTTGCTGGGTGTTGAGTAGCAATTCACATAGGTGTCTGCTATTAAGAGATGGGCTTTGTTTACCACAGACCATTCTGCTTCTTCCTCCTCCCCACCCCACTTCCTCTGCATCTTCCTCTTCCACCTTCTCCTTCTTCTTTCCTTGTTCTCCTTCTCTTTTCCCTTCTCCTCTTCCTCTTCTTAATTTTTAATTTTTTCATCTATTTGTTGGTTGCAGAAACTACTTTGGCACCTATGCCAGAAGCCAGAAGTATGGTAAGTGAAAAAGGATGGAAGTTGGAAAAAATAAAGTAAATAATTAGTTTATTTTATTATAAATTTTAATAGCAAAATTCATCAAACAAATGTACAAGGAGATCTTTCAAAAAGTAAAAAAAAAAGTATCATTATTGCACTGAAGTCAAGAAATAGAAACGTAGCAGCCACATAAAACCATTACCTAGACAACACAAAAATGTTCATCTCCCTTTACACAAAAATTCAGTTAATGTGCACAAATATGTCATACAAGCATCTGAGAAAGGTCAAATGGTGTTGACAGTAGAAGTGTTCATTTTAGCAAAACGATGGTTTTAAAGACACAAATAAATATATAACCAAAATATGCACTTTAAGGGTGGATCAAATAATTATATATATACTTAGTGGAATATCAAATAGAGGTGAAAAATTAAACTACAGATTTATGTATATGAATAAACAGAAATTTAAGCAGATATAAGCATGCACACATATTGTTTATTTATGTAAATTACAATACTGTCAATACTAAACAAATTCCGTTTATATTCATATGTTTATACACACCCACACACAAACACACACACAGACACACACATACATAGTGAAATTATCAAGAAAGACAGGGGAGTGATAAATAGAAAAATTCAGTTTCATGATTTCTTCTAGAGTTTGGAAGGAGAAATACGTGAAGGGAAGTGAAGATGGTGGTCACTAAATTAGAAAACCACATTCAGCCAGTTCTAAACCCTTTTAAAAAAAGTTTGTAAACTTTGTTTACACGTTTGTAAAGACATTTTAATATCTTATTTTTTAAGTGTCATGTCTTCATTCTTATAGGTGTTAGTGTTATAGATGTTTGTTTTCAAAACTACCTACAGACTATAATTTTTTATTTTGATGCATAACATTTCTTTCTTTTTTATGTTTATTTCTTTATTTGGAGGGAGAGAGGAGAGAGAGTGTACACATGCAAGCAGGGGAGGGGCAGGAAGAGAGGGAGAGAGGATCCTGAGCTGCTTCCGGAAGTGGTGTACGGGCTCTGATCATGACCTGAGCTGAAATCAAGAGTCTGAAACTTAACCAACTGAGCCACCCAGGCATCCCAATGTGTAGCATTTCATATGAAGATTAAAGAAAATTTTAGAAATTCTTTCCCTGATAAGTTCTATTGTGTCTCTATGTTTAACAGCCACAATGTAAACCATATTCAGATGAGCAAGATTATTGCACCAGAGAATGGGATCCAATCTGTGCGAACAATGGAAAAACTTATGGAAATACATGTGCTTTCTGCAGGGAAAAGAAGTAAGTACACAATAGTGAATATTTGCTCTTCAAAAGCATGAAGAAACCATCACAAAAGGATCGCAAAATCCATGTTGACAGTAACCTAGGCACAACATATATAGACAGTAACTGTAAGATGCCTGTAAAAAATTAGGGGCCACACTTGTATCTTTCCCTGAAGTTCTTGTTTCTGAAATTTAATTTTGTATGTGAGCTCTCACTATAATTTTGCTTCATACTGTGCAAAGGTATGAATCAATTAATTGAACTTAATTGAGAATTACTAATGACAGACTAGCAATCACTATGATGTAATTCCAAAGCCCAGATGCAGAACACTAGATCTCTGAGGTGGCCATGATCCTGACACTTGCAGACCTCTATCTGCAGGGAGCATAGTCATGCAAGAAACTGAACTAACCTTTACAGTTTGAAATCCATCAAAATGGGCCCATTCATCTAGAAAGAAGCTCTTCTGATGGCCAAGTTTGTCTCATGAACTCCAGGATAGCCTCCAAATATCTTCCTTGGAGGGCAGGGCATTCTAGAACACTCCCATCAAATCTCCCTTCCTGTCCCCCTCACTCTGAAAAAGTTTGCCGTCTGATGGCTGGTTTGTCCAACCTTCCCACCTCCCCCCCTCATTTTCTCTCATAAGTGTTTGCTTTCACACATCTTTGCACATTTAAGCCCCTAAATTGGCCTCTGTTTCCAGAGAACTATTAAGACAGTCTCCATTATCTCCTCTCTCAGATCTGGGTGCATCCCCAAAGACTGAGTCAAAACTGACTCAGAATGTAGGAAGAGTCAAGCAACCCGATAGGGGAAGAGGACATGGGCCAGACCCTAGTAGCCAAACCCAGCTGCTTCCGGAAGTGGTGCACAGGCTCCGAATCATGTTCCATGTTCAAACCCCTCCTATTGAGAAGTGCTTTGTTATCATCATGTTTCACATACAAACTATATTCTGCATGCATATCATCTGACTTTCTGCACCATAGAAATGGATTCAATTTGTGCAACCAATGATCACATTTATAGCAATGAAGGTATTGTCTTCAGTGATACTACCCGGGGAGTTTAAAAGATCTCTTTTTTAATAAAGTTTTCATTTTAGAATAACTTTAAATTTTCAGAAAAATTTAAGAGATAGTATCATTTTCTATATCTTTTATCCAGTCTTTCCTAAGGTTAATACCTTATAGAACCCTGGCAAACTTCTCGAAACTAAGAAATTAACATTGTTATATTACTATTAACTAACCTACAGGATTTATTTGGATTCCACAACCTTTTCCATTAATGTACTTCTTTTTTTTTAACATTTTTTAAATGTGGCACACTTTATTTCTTTCCTAAAACTTTTTAATTTACTTTTTTCTCCCCCCTGTCTCTTGCTTTCTCTACAGGAAAAATGGTGACAAATTTGATTTTGTGCATTTTGGTTACTGTTGAATATTGATCACACTGTAGCTTTCATTGTCATCACATTTTGTGATACATTCCACAGCCATTTAGAATATTCTCAATCAGAGCCTTCAATTCATAGGTGACCAGGTACATCCTATGAACAGAAGATGAAATACAGAGCATTTAAACTTTTTTCCAACTCTACATTCCTGTCATTTCAGGATTTTTAATTCTCTATGTTCAATTATTCAATGATAATTTGAAAAACTAATGTCTTAATTGCATGTTTGAGAGCATAAAAAGTAGCATAATTAAAAAAATAAATGTTTAACTCATTAAAATGTTTAATTGTTGTCTTTCTTAAAATACCCTTTCTTGGGGTACCTAGGTGGCTCACTCAGTTGAGCATATGACTTCGGTTCAGGTCATGATCTCACAGCTGGGAGTTTGAACCCAGCATTGGGCTGTGTGCTGACAGGTCAAAGCCTGGAGCCTGCTTTGGATTCTGTGTCTCCCTCTGTCTCTGCCCCTCCCCTGCTCTCTCTCTGTCTTCCTCTCAAAAATAAATAAAACATTAAAAAATTTTTTTAAATAAAATAAAATAAAATACCCTTTCTTTAACTGAGCCATGAGTTA